AGGTGAAGCGATAACCAATATAAAACGTCTCGGTGGCTGGAAGTCCACTACTATCGCTGAAGGCTATTTGGAGGACTCCGAAACACAGAAGAAAAACATTTCGAATAAAATTCTTTCAAATAGAAATGACTTGCAACCTTTGCTGCCACCGTCATTTTCACCTTCATGCGAACTGCAACCGATGTCACTCCCGTCCACGTCATCTTTTCAATCTACGAGCGTTACGACTATTAACAGCCAATTAACACCAACTAATTCCTCTGTACCGGCAATTTTACATAATTTACAAAATGCTACAAATTGTGTATTTAACATTAATATCCATAATAATTAGTTGTTTTTATTTAAAGATTTGTATATGTTGAAATAAAATAATTTTCCAAAAATAATTTTTCCTACTTTTTTGTATATACGGTCGTAGAAAAAATAATGTTCCTCTCATGCGTAAAGTGTCATTCCCGCACTTGACCGCTTGCCCGAACTCCGCTTCGAGTCGTTCGGGCCAACTGCAGTCGCGTGCGGGAAAGTAACACTTTCCGCACTTGTTAGGAAAATAACTATTTCTTATAAATATAAATGAAGTAAAGGGTAAAGAAAGGTAAAATGTTTATTTTTAAAAAACTGTTACTGTTCGACAACCCTAATGACTTGAGATAAATATTTTTTTACTATAAGGTGTATTGCTCCATATAAACTGTAACTACTATTAAAACAAATTATAAAGTCTTACATACCTTTGTTTCTTTTATAAGCTGAGTATTGTTAAAAAATGCAGTAATCATCTCGGTAATCATATCTTGGTTTACAATTGGTAAAACACTCGAATCAACTTTTATAAATCCAGCTGACAAACTCATATTAATAATAAAATTAAACCAAATAGCAAAGACAGAAGAAATAAATCTAGAATTGAGAAAAAAGTATACAAAACAAAAAACGAATGTTAGGTTAGGTGGTTTCGGTGGTGTCAATTTTAAGTGTCACTTATACCGCGTTTGAGATCCACATCGGATGCATTTTTTACATCTCGAGCGTTTTTTTATCCACATCGGACACATCTGTCCCATTACATTTACGTATACTGAATCACGTGATCAAAGATTTACTACATCTCAGATGCATCCCATGTGGATTCTTAAACGCGGCATTAGATGTGCGTTCACTTCGACATTCTGTGTGTCGGTTTGTTCGTTGGCTTAATTCTGTATAACAAAAAAAACTTCGACGCAAGCTGATTGGTCTATTCCCGATGACGTACACATTTCAAATTTTAAATTTAAATTGGTTTTAATTTAAAAACTTTTGGCTTTTTTAACAAACTGATTATATAGAATAACTTGTATAGCGACTAACTGTTACAATATAATTTATAAAACAGCATATCTCACATGTGAACATGACCCATTGTACTACAATAGATAAAATACAAAATTACCTACATTTCTGGCAATTAAACCACAATACTCGCTGCCTCTATCTTGTCTGTCTAAGATTGATTAAATCGCCTCGAAAGTAATGTCAGAGCAAGTGATAATGGTTTAGGCACTGAGAAGGGTTACTCTCGACCCTCATGTCCTTTAACGACAAACAACTGCACGTCAGATTAACTGCCTTGTCAGTCGTAACATTCGGAATTACGAAAAGGATTTAAGAGATCTTTTACTTCAAACTATAGATTTAGCTGACAGTATCAGTTAAATGGCTTAATTAGTTAAGCAATGCTCAAAACAAAACACAAATGGAAAATCCTGGTGCCAAAAGGTGGCAGTTCCATTTTTATAAATTTAAGAATAAAATACATTTTTATAAGATTTTTCATTAAGGGCTGTTTGGTCCAAAATTATCCTAAAATAAGCGGAATTGTAAAAAAATGTGCCGCTATCTCTTTTTTGTACAGTAAATACGATAGATAAAAAAAAAGTGTTAATGTAAGTTTAAATAAGATTAGTATTAATTAGTTGGTGACATTTCAATATTTGAATAAAGTAATTTAAATGTTCTTCTCATTTAAAATCGACAAAAGTTGTTATTGTAATGATTGTTTAATTTAAAAATATTTTATTTATTATTAACAGTTTATTTATAATTTATTTATAACGTACTAATTAATTTATTTAAAACTTATACACTATTACAACTCACAATTCTAATTTATTTATTACAATTTGTTTTTATTATCCAACACTTTTATTTAAACTTTTTGTCCATCGACAAACTCGTGCTATTTATATAAAGCCAGCTCTGCACCACAACACTCTCGGCGATCCAGAACGTCCTGGAACTATCTCTCTATGACTCAGACGCCGCACAGCTAGCTCTCCAGTAGCTTCTCGAACATTAAGGTAGTCAAAAGCGGCATCAGTTCGCCATATTGATGCTAACGCATTGTTGTGATTTTAATAATGTGATTTGTATGATCAAGTTTTGGTTTGATTTTTGTGTGATATTACAGTAAAAGATAATAATGATTTCATGTGCTCTTCGTAACTGCAACAGCAGGAATGAAGTTGATAAAATAAAATTGACAGAAATAACATTTCATTGGTTGGTATACAAAATTATAATAATAAACAGGGTAGTATTTGAAAAATTGATTTTAAATTTCTGGGTTAAAACATTGTACGCTAATAATTGTTTGATATACATACGGTTTTCTGTTATTTTGTTGTTTATGAAGTCCATTTTATGCTGTGCAAGAGTGACAGGAAACCGTATACATATTTTAACTAACAAAGCCAAAATAATAAATGTTTTTCTTTTAAATTTCCTAAAAAAAAAAAAAAAATTCTGACAGTGAATTGAATGAATTAGTTAACAGGTATCATGGTTATTTACCAGACCCTCTGTCGATATTTTTCACATATATTATTGACTATATAGCGGGATATATTGTCAATTTTTTAAAGAAAATATTTTTTTTAAATGTATATTTGCTTTGATAAGTGACATGAGGTATTTGCATCTATTCTCTTTTATTGATAAAAAAATAAAAGTGGGATACAATATCCCTCAACAGATATTTAAAGCGAAACAGTTTTTCCAAATCATGTAAACAAATATCAGCGTTGGATAACCATCGGGTATTATCAATAAAAGCTGTGGCAGATAAATATGTAAATGTTAGGCTATATCATTTTTCCAAACAAAAATCAAATAAATTTGAGAGCATAAGGCAGTAATAAAATAGTTTGGTTCAAAGGTCAATATATTTTTCTCTTTTAAGGTAGTAGTTCACTCGCGACAGTCGTACGCAAAATATCGCCTAATGGTGAATACCAAAAGTTCGAGATTCTCAATGCTAAAAATTTTTATTTTTGTAAGAGACTGTACACAAGACATGTAAGCCTATATATATAGTGTGTATATTTATAGCAATTTGTGACTTCCTAATACTAATTTTAAGGGTTTGTTTTGGTTCAAACAGAACCACTGACTCCAGTTCTCAAATATAGTGAACGAATTAATTTTTTAAGAACAAGTCGCCATTTTCGGGTTTTCACCGATATTTCCATAACCAACTGACCGATCGTAAATCTGAAGCCGGTTATCAAATGCACTAAGTTTCCTCCAAAACATTTCCCATTTAACCTTTGCTGTAGGTATAATAGGAGCCAAAATCCCTGTATAGAGAAGCAAATCTGGGACACACTGTACATATACCTAAGTGTAAATGATTACAAACATAATCTATTGAAACGTAAATAACGTTTACATTCAATGGTTCTACCAAAGTTTTATTATTTTAAAATAAATTATCCCAAATAAATTATTCATATTGACTCACACTGTATTCAACAATTTTAAGTACCTCGTACCATACGACAGTATCGGTAAAAAGCCAGCGGTGTTTTTTTGTTTAGCTCGCGAAATTAAATTCTCGTGGGTCTAACGCAAATTTCTAGATAAATCGATGGGATTTTGATTTCAAAGCTCTGGTTAATAACAGTGATATACACCGTGTCCCACGTAAGGCGGGCATTACAACTTTATGGAGAATAAACTAATTTGTATTTTCGCCATTTTCTGAGTATACATAATCGAATATGCTCTTTTGAATTAAAATAAAATGAACTCTGTGCAACTTCCAGTTATACCGGAAGTGACCACTAACTTCGTTATTTTAAAGGGAATACCCCATATTTTTTTTTAATTTTAGATTCAGCATGAAATTCTGTAAACAACGATACCCCATTTGCCTATTCTAGTTATAGCGGATTTGGCGTTATTCAATTTTTTTCTACATTTTTAGTCGCCGGTAGACATTTTCTTAAAGTCGTCTATCTCAGGTACTATATCTATCAGATACTTAAAATTTTAACCAGAGGTAGTAGATGGGATGTATTTCTTGAGAATATTTAGTTATTCATTATTTGTTGTACGGGGTGTTTGCAAATTATTTTTAAAAATGAAATTTTTTAAACATAAAAAACTTTTTTATTTTAAATTGAACACCCTATATATTTTTAAAATTTTAGATTCAGCATGAAATTTTGTAAACAATGATACCCCATTCGCCTATTCTAATTATAGTGTATTTGGCGTTATTCAGTTTTTTATAAACTTTTATATGCCGGCAGACATTTGCTTTTTTAAATTTACTTGTACATCGTTTGTTCGACTGTGTGTTTGGAAATTATTTTAAAAAATAAATATTTCAAACATGAAATTTTTTTTTATTTTAAATGGAAAATCCTGTATATTTTTATTTTATTTTGTTCAGAAAATTATTCTTCATTGATCTTCATTTGCACTATTAATTCCCTATAATTATCTCTCGTCAATTTTAAGAAAATTTAAATTTAAATTTTACGCATGCACCTACATAATATAGTATAATTTTACATTTTAATTTTTTATCTTAGTATGCCGTGGAAATATGCTAAACAACAATCTGTCAACAAACTGAATTGTCATATTTCTATGTATTTAAGTTGTGTATTTTTTGCGTTCAAAATATGGAAAATATGGAAAATATGGAAAATATGGAAAATATGGAAAATATGGAAAATATGGAAAATATGGAAAATATGGAAAATATGGAAAATATGGAAAATATGGAAAATATGGAAAATATGGAAAATATGGAAAATATGGAAAATATGGAAAATATGGAAAATATGGAAAATATGGAAAATATGGAAAATATGGAAAATATGGAAAATATTGAAGAATATACCAACCAAGATATTCTTAATTTATTTTACATTCATGGAGAATGTAATCGAATCAAAAGTAGAACCTGCCGCATGTTTAATGAACGATACCCTCATTTACCACCAATGAACAGACAGAAATTTGATAGAATCGAAGCTAACTTTTTGAATAATTTCATTTTTAAAAATAATTTGCAAACACCCCGTACAACAAATAATGAATAACTAAATATTCTCAAGAAGTACATCCCATCTACTACCTCTGGTTAAAATTTTAAGTATCTGAGATAGACGACTTTAAGAAAATGTCTACCGGCGACTAAAAATGTAGAAAAAAATTGAATAACGCCAAATCCGCTATAACTAGAATAGGCAAATGGGGTATCGTTGTTAACAGAATTTCATGCTGAATCTAAAATTAAAAAAAGATATGGGGTATTCCCTTTAAAATAACGAAGTTAGTGGTCACTTCCGGTATAACCGGAAGTTGCACAGAGTTCATTTTATTTTAATTCAAAAGAGCATATTCGATTATGTATACTCAGAAAATGGCGAAAATACAAATTAATTTATTCTCCATAAAGTTGTAATGCCCGCCTTACGTGGGACACGGTGTATATTTTGAGGAAATTTTCCAATATTCGCTGTAGGCGGATTTAATCTCTCAAATATTAAATTAGTACAAGTGTTTCTGGTTGAAATTATTTATTTTGTGCATTTGTAGGTACTATTTACGTCGATTAACGGATTTCTTTGATAGCTGTTTTGAACAATTTGATGAAAACGTCTCTATAATAAGGAATTATTTTTGGAATAACTGTGTAGGAGGTTAGTACTCAATTATTACAAAGTAAAATTTGCGTTACCCATTAATTTAAAATTATTTAAATTTACTAATAATAAATAGAAAGTTTTCTTTAATGCTAAATAAAGGTTTTCCTATTTTTTTTAGACGTTTATTTGGGTACCGGTTCTGATTTCAAGAACGATAAATTATTGTTTCCAACTGCTGGTAGAACAATTGAACTGTAAAACAGAATTTTGTGATTGAAACAAAATACCAAGAGGCTTTTTATTGTGGATTTGGCTGAGAGGGAATTCGAACCTTTTAAAATAAGTACCCCGCTGTGGGAATCATTTTATTATTATTTATTTTCTATAAATAGTATTTAAGTTTAGTTATTCTACATTATTAACTGTGTAAATGGTTTTGGGATAGAGTTATTTTTATTGAAATTCTACCTCTTATTATTTATTTTTACCCTTACACAAGAAGTCTCACTAAAGAGAGTAAGTTTAGTAATTTAGTATTGTCTTTAAATTTTCCATCGCCACTCAAATTACTTGGCGCCGGGTTAAATAATCATTTTCTTTAAATTTGTATATGAACCACCCCATATACTGAACTGAGCTAGGCACTTATAACTGTTATTATTTTATATAGCAAAAGAAACGTAACAAAATGTTTGTAAAATGGTTGCATGAAAAACTTCTCCCAATATATATTAAAATCAGAATTATTACGCTTGGCAAATTTACACGCAAAACCAAAAAGCTTTGTTGTGAATCAGATTATTGAAAGTTACGGTCATCAAGTTTTACGTCTGCCACCGTATCATCGCCAGTTTAATCCCATCGAAAATATATATGGGGAATAGCAAAACAATATTATGACAACCATATTGGGCCTAATGGTTATAGTGACGACGCAGTTCGGGAAACTTGGCGAAAAGCACTTTCAATTGCAACTCCAGAAGTGTGGCGGAACTGTATATTTAAGTGCGAGGAACTAATAGAAGATTGGTAGACTCGTGAAAATAAAATAAACGAAATAAGTCCAATCATAATAACAATTAATGGTGATGGCAGTGATGATGATGACGATTATGATATTTTGGATGATAATGACTGATTTTCATTTTCATTTTTGTTGACAAGTTCAGTTTTTTTATTTTTCAGTCGAAATTCTCTACATGGAACAAGTTTTTATGTTAGAAAATATTTTATTTGAGCTAAATAACCCTCTTATTATACATAGACCATATTTTCTGTGTGAAGTGTAATATAAAATTATTATTAGGTTTTAGGTTTATAATAGCCACATTAGACTAGATTATTATTTAATTAAAAAGTTGTACATTATTTTTCATTTCAATTAACCAGTTGATATTTCCCCAAAGAACAGGTCAAACTTTCGGGTACTTACCTGGAAATACTCATAAAATTTTTAATCCGAAACCCGTGTAAGTATAGCGAACAGACTGTACATGTCACACCATAGTTGGTACTACTCAAAATGACATGACATCTGCATGAACTACTTGGGTTATTAGCATAGTGTTCTGAGTAGGCTTTATGACTGTTTCCCCTCGCCACTTTAGGAACAGCACTGTTAATTAGAACCCAACAGTAAATGGTCAAGTGGAGAATCCTACCTATGCATTAAATTTAATATTTAATTCATTAACTTAAATAATCCCTGCCACTATCGGGATTCGAACTCAAGACCCTTCGATCTCAAAGACATAACTCTAATCACTGAGCCAACCCTACTATAATAATCTAAAGATTGATGTTAGATTATAGGTTAGGTCGTTCAAATGAAATCCTGTTTTATTTTAAATACATTCATTTTATCTTTTAATAAATACACAACCAAAATAACATAAAACAATTATTAGGTAGAGTAGTAAAAAAATAGATTATCAAAGTTTTACTTATTCAAAACAAATTGCAGGTATACAAACGAATATAATATGGATCGCTTCATTATAATGGCTTTTCTCATTAATGGGATTAATCAATTAACACTTTTGGTAGTATTAGCGGTTAACCAAAGGCCCGGCGACCTTCCGCAAACTATGTTCATTTTGAGATGGGATCCACGTAGATACATAGATTATGTGTTGTGTCCAGAATTTGAACAAGGATTAGATGATTAATAAGAGAAAACGATCGTTCCCTATCCCGTCTGTTTCCTGCCTCTCCCTTTAGGATTTCGCTCGGGTATATAATCTCGGAACCGAAGATTATCGGATGGGATAATATTCCGATATTAATGAATTTCGAATTAGCTCATAATTTATGTATTTCTATGTTTATTATTGGTGTCTTAATGTAATTTGAAATTAAACTTATAGTACGAACGTAAAGTGTTACAGTAGGATCTTAAATTGGGTTGGAATCATAAATAAAGTTAATAGAGATGTAAGTAAAATATATTTAAAATAAAGAAACGCATAGTTGTGTATACAATATAAAATTATATCGTATAAATATAATAATTAATAGATCCTTTAAAATTACAATAGCTGCAATCTATAGCCCACCAAGATACAATTAGAAAAAAGAAAATTATCTCAAACTCAAAAAACTAGGTAACAAATTTATAATCGGCGGAGATTACAACTCCAAAAATACCATCTGGGGTTCAAGGAAAAGAATTGCACCGAGCTGCATCAGAATTTGGTTGTACATACCAATCTTCTAAAAAACCCAGCTATTGGTCCACCCGACCCAAATAAGATTCTATACATTTTGGATTTCTTTTTTCTGAGGAAAATTTCAGCAAGCTATACACAAGTAAAAGAAAATTTTGATATGGATTCAGACCATTCTGCAGTAATCCTTACTCTAAGTGATAATGTTATTTAAAAAGAAGCAAAACCGACCCTAGCAAATTGGAAAACTAATTGGGAAAGTTTTCAAGAGGACTTAACAAATACTCTTCAACTGAACATAACGCTAAAAATGAAAAATCAGGTAGATAAAGAACAACAAAAGTAAGAAGATTAACAGCTGAAAAAACTGTTCTGTCGAGATAAGAGAAATGGTAGTAGAAAAAACAAAATTAAGGAAGAAATGGCAGATGACAAGATCACCAGAAGATAAAACTATATTAAATAGGGCTACTCAAAGACTGAGAAGAGAAATCCTAAATTACAAAGAAGAATCCTTCAACAGATACCTCGTAGGGCTCACAGATGATAAAGAAACTGATTATTTGCTCTGGAAGGCAATAAAAAGATTAAAAATTCGTGTAGACACTGTCCTCCTACCAGAATAGCAGATAACAAATGGGCAAGAGATAATCAACCGCCTACAAAAGATGAAAATCAAGACACTCCTAACGAGACGATCCATAATATGGAACAACTTTAAATTAGGCTAGTTACTTCCAGTGAACTTAGGAGACAAACATCAACTCACAGAAAGCCCCAGGGTATGTTGCCACTAAAGGCTATCGTTAAATTGACATACCTCATAAATGCAGCATTTCGCCTTAAATATATACCTAATGCGTGGAAAATAGCTAAAGTTGTCCTAATTCCTATGCCAGCAAAACATCCTAATGAAGTGTAATCATATAGAACTAACTACCTATATTGTTGTTACCAATAATATCTAAGTTGTTTGAAAAACTACTATAATAATTAAAAATAAAAACCTGACTCCTTCGCACCAATCTGGTTTTAGAAACAAACACTTGGCAATAGATCAAGTAAACAGGATAGCCGATATTATCAAAAAAGCTTACGAAGAAAAAATACATGCTCAGCTATATTTTTTGATGTAGCCCAAGCATTTGACAAGGTTTGGCACGCTGGACTGTACAGAAACTTGAAAAAATGCTCCCTAGATAATATGTTGACATTCTACAATCATATCTAACGAAAAGAATGTATAGAATAAAGCAAGAGAAAGCAAAATGAAAGAAATTAAAGCAGGTGGCCCACAAGGCAGTGTGCAAGGACCGGTTCTTTACTTATATACACCAGCGATATTCCTCAACAAAAATGTGTTACAATAGTAACATTTGCAGATGACACTGCAATATTGGCAGTTGGCGGAACTAATACAGAGACCTCAGAAAAACTTCAGGAAACTTGCAATCAATCGATGGACAAAAGAATGGAAAATAAAAATAAATCAAACTAAATGTTGATTTTACTCTTCGAACAAATGAACAAAAACAAATAAGAATAATGACGTTATTCCGCATCACGACTTAAATGGAAAGAGCACATAAAAAAAGCGTAAAGAAGTTGAACTTAAATTCAAAAA